ACTGGCCTCATCAAGCCGTAAAAAGCAGCAGACTTGTCAATCTCCAGATTTAACCTCCTCCTGCAAGAATCACCTCAGATGTGTCTCTTTAGGTCATGTGCCCTGTGAGAACAGATTTTGTGACCAAGAAGATACCTTCTTGGTTAAATACAGCTCTAACTTCTCATCTCTGTTCCTTCAACTCATTTAAGAGAGTAATATCAAGACCTAAACTTTCCCTTCATTTCTAAATAATATATCGACTATTACATAGTATAACACTCCAGTTATAGCTCAATGCAACTTCATTTCTGTTTTACCATCTTACATAACATCAGTCCAACAGTCACTGGTATATATACACAGAAAGTAAGTTTCTAAATGCTGCTGCTAAGACATGATCATGCATGTTTAAAAAGGAAAGGCAAAACCTTTCCCACACCCCTGGACTGGGAGGCCCGGATTCAAGTCCCACTTGCTCCAGAGGTGTGTAATAACAGGCTGATTAGAAAAATAGGTTCCATAGAATTGTTCACATTTGATTCATTAACAATTTAACTACATTTAATGAAAAAACCTGTGAGAAAGTTTGACGTTGTAACTAATATAGTGGATAAAGGAGGTAGTATATTCAAATTTTCAGGAAGTATTTGATAAGTTGCCACAAAATAGATTGTTATACAAACTTAGAGTTCATTATGTAATATATTGGCCAGAATTGAGGACTGGTTAACATTATCAGACAGAAACAGTGTAGGAATAATTGGATCATTTTTGGGTTGTCAGGCTGTGACTGGTGGGTTTCCACAAGGATCAGTACTTGGGCCTCAGCAATTTACAATCTATATCAATGACGGAGATAATGGGACTGAATGTAATGTATCCAAGTTTGCTGATGACTAAAAGTGGGAATATATGCTGTGAGAATGATGCAAAGAGGCTGCAAAATGATTTAGATATGCACATAAACGGGTAACGACAAGTCAGATAGAATAGGAAGAAATCTGAAGTTAGTTTGGTCGAAGAATTAGAAAAGCTGAATATTTTTTAAAACAATGAAGGACTGGAAAATATTAATTTCAGTGTGATCAGATTTCTTTGGAAACAAATGTATTAAGGAAAATGGCATGTTCACCTATATTACAAAGGGATGAGTGTATTAGAGTGAAGACATTGCAATACATTGCTTTGGACTTCGTGGGGCCCACACCATGAATACTGTATAGAATTTTGGTTTACGAAGGATCCACTTGCCTCGGAAGGAGTACAATAAATGTTCACTGTTCTTGCAAGGAGAGAATTATCCTACAAAGAGAGAGAGAGACCAGGCTCAATTTCCCTAGAATTTAGAAGGTTAGAACATGATTTAATTGAAACATATGAAATTCTTTAGGAACTTGTCAAGTAAGATACTGGGAGGATGCTTTCCCCTGGCTGGGGAGTCTAGAATACGGGCTAGAGTCTCAGGTAAGGAGTTGACCGTTTAGAACACAGATGAGAAGAAATTTCTTCACTTAAAGGGTCCTGAACCATTGGAAGTTGTGGACCATGAGAGCTATTGATGCTGAGTTGTTGACTATTCAAATTGGATATCTATAGATTTTTAGATAGCAATGGAATCAAAGACATGGGAATCATAACGGAAGGTGTAATTAGGTATCAGATCAGCTATGAACTTGTTATTTGGCTATTCCTGTTCCCATTTTTTTAATGTTCTTATTTTACTTTATAGGTTGCTGTATTATCTTAAATTACCTAAGATTTATACTTTTATAACATGCACTGCCAGAAGTCTCTTGTTGCTGGCTGTCATGTTATTCTTGCTCAGTAAAAAGGAGTTTTGTGCATTTGTACATACTCCTTTCACCAGTTTCTGACTGCTAATTTAACATTTGCAATGAAAATCTCCAGTGTAAAAACTCAAATATCTAGGAGATCTTTAAAATTTTAACTACTACTTGCTGTTTTAGCACTGGAACTAATGTTTTGCTACATTATTCTATCGCCAATTTTCTCTTGCTACCTGTAACCTTTTTCAGACCTGTTCCTAATTTAGTAACTAGCAGAGTACTCTGCTCTGAAGAAGATTTATATCAAACTCAAAACATTAACTAAGTTGCTGGAAAAGGTCAGCAGGTCTGGCAGCACCTGTGAAGAGAAAAACAGAGTTAATGTTTCAGGTCCGGTGACCCTTCCTCAGAACTGTTCTGAGGGAGGGTCACCAGACCCGGAATGTTAACTGTTTTTTCTTCACAGATGCTGCCAGGCCTGCTGAGCATTTCCAGCAACATTGTTTTTGTTCCTGATTTACAGCATCTGCAGTTTGAAACATTAACTCTTGTTTCGCTCTCTGTAGATGCTGCCAGACCTGTTAAGTTTCTCCAGCACTTAAAGTCTTTACAGTACGGAAACAGACCTTTGGTCCAACTCATCCATGCTGACCAAGTTTCTCAAACTAAACTAGTCCCACTTGCCTGCATTTGGCCCATATCCCTCTAAACCTGTTCTATTCATGTACCTATTAAAATGTCTTTTAAATGTTATAACTGTACTTTTCTGATTTTATTTCAGATTTCCAGCATCTGCAGTACTTTGCTTTTATTATAGTATTCTGCTCCTTTGGAACAGTAAAAGCATCAAACCACTTCAAGTTCACCGATCTTCAACAAAAAAAGAAACCCTTAACCATGTTTCTTGATCAATTTTATACGATATTTTGTGGAATCTCTGACATGCCACTATTTCTGACAGCTTTAACTGACTAAAAGGATATCAAATCATACTTGTCGTTCAAAGTCCTTTAAAGATACAAGTAAACAAAAGAATTTAAAGAGTGCTCCGCACATAACCACATTAGGTGCTCAGACTTACATTGGATTCAAATACCTTTTCCTCTCATAGATACAGCTGGCAATCAAATATATACTTCAAAGTAGCAAAATGGTTTTTGAAACAAATATTTAATCCTGAGACCAAACCATAATGATGCAAATAAATTATGTTTTACACAAAAATTCAAAAACTAGTCATGGCTCACGACTGCAATTAATTACCTTGCATTAAAAATCTATTTTCCACTTAATATAAAACTAAAGCCCATCTGAATATTGCATGCACCTAGATTCAACAGTATTACTTCAAAATATTTTTATAATGCTACATGTTGAATTTAACTGCTATTAAAACAACATTTCTATAGACCTACAAAAAGTTCTTTTTTCTCCATTATATTAAATAATTAGTGCATCTAATTTATTCCTCTATTGATAGTACTTTGTCCAATTGTCTACAGCCGAGTGAATGGATATTTTGTTTTTTGGGTGATTCTTTAGGATATTTATTGCTCAAATTAACAGTAGAAGTATGGCTGTATAGTAAAATAACGAAAGAAATAATGGAAAGTATAAATTTAAAGAAGGGAAATATATTTCCATTGGGCTTATATAACTTTTAATGACCTGGGCAAAGTACTTCTTTAAAAGTGAATTTAATCTAAGTCATCGCAAACAGGTTTTCAGAGCATAAGTAATTTAGAATGTAACGTTATGTATATATATTATTCACCTACACAAATGAGCATTGTACTCAGAAGCTGGTATATTCCTTGACATTGTCTTTAATTCTTCAATAAATAAACATGCACTGCCATGGGCTAGTTCTCCCTCCATTCAATGGTTTCCAAATGCCATCAACGTCCATTATCATCCAATAACTTATGCATACTGCACTTCCTCATTTATATAAATGATTTGGGCATGAATACAGGGTGTATGGTTAGTAAGTTTGTAGATGACACCAAAACTGGGGGTGTTAAGCACAGTGAAGAAGGCTGTCTCAAAGTACAACGGAACCTTGATCAGATGGGCCAATGGACCGAGGAGTGGCAAATGGAGTCTAATACAGATAAACGTATGATGTTGCATTCTGGTAAGGCAAATCGGGGCAGGAGGTATTCACGTGATGGTAGGGCCTTGGGGAGTGTTGCTGAACAAAGCGACCTAAGAGTGCAACTGCATAGTTCTTTGAAAGTGGAATCATGGTAGACAGGGGTGGTGAAGGCGGCGTTTGGCTTGTGTGCCTTCACTAATTAGTGCATTGAGTATAGGAGATGGGATGTGATGTTGCAGCTGTATAGGATATCGATTAGACCACTTTTAGAATACTGCATTCAATTCTAGTCTCCCTGCCCTGGAAAGACATTGTTAAACTTGAAAGGGTTTGGGAAAGATTTACAAGGATGTTGTCATGGATGGAGGATTTGAGCTACAGGAAAGTGCTGAATAATCTGGGGCTTTCTTTCCTGGAGCGTTGGAGGCGGAGGGGTGACCTTAGAGGCTTATAAAATCATGAGGAGCGTGGAGAGAGTGATCGGCCAAGGTCTTTTTCCCAGGGTAGGGGAGTCCAAAACTAGAGGGTTTAAGGTGAGAATGGAAAGATTTAAAAGGGACCTGCGGGGCAACTTTTTCACAGAGTGTGGTGGACGCATGGAATGAGTTGCCAGAGAAGGTAGAGGAGGCGGATACAGCTACAACATTTAAAAGGCCGCTGGATGGGTACATGAATGATGGAGGGATATGGGCCAAATGCAAGCAAATGGGACTAGATCAGTTTAGAATATTTGGCTCGCATGGACTAGTTGGACCGAAGCGTCTATTTCCATGCTGTATAACTCTATGACTCTATGATTCCATAGTATGAAATCACAGCAATTAAATAACTATTCAGTAATTTCACGAAAATTGCTACTTTCACTGAATATCTAACCAATGTAAGTTTTGCTCTAAAATATACATTGTAGATGTAAATTTTAATAAATTAATGTTTGCATGCCAAATTTTAAAAAACCCGAAAAGTTACACGAGAAATCAACCAGTGATTGTTTTGTGTTTCAACTAGAACTGATTCTGATTATGCAGTTTGTACAGAAATATTATACAAAGCATTTTGTTTCAAATAGAAAGAGATCTATAAGCACAATTTACACAACCCTGACAAACTATATTATAGTTCAAAATGCAGAAATAAACACTGGAACGTGTCACCAAATGCAATATCAATATTATATTCTGAAATCTGGTACTGTAGATTTATCCTTAGTCCATAATTATAAACTGCTAAAATACAAGTGTAGTTAAATAATTCGACAAATGCTCACAATTTTACAAACATGGGTCAAATTCACTTAATATATGATTTAAAAAAAAAGCAACATTTTCTGATTTTCATCATAGATCTTTGACGAATACGTGCAGCAGCTTTAATTTATATGAAAGAACGCAAGTCAAACATTGAAGTTTTAGTTCTCCAAATTGCATTACTGTATGTCTGAGTTAAGTATACTATAAAAAAGTACAAAGAATAGCTGTCATTTCAACCTGCTCACTGAAACAATTAACCAGATAAAATAATTTGACTCATTCTTCCTACCATTTTTTAAAATTCCCCTCCTAACAGTTTCAAAATAAAATATCTTCATTTTGGATCAGCATCTCAACCAACAGTCTTTGATAACGTATGTCATTTAAGGCTGCCATGGGATCCTGTTCTGGAGCTCGCATCAGAGTTGGTCCAAACACAATTCCCAGATTCTCTGCATTCATCAGATTGTCCTTCTCATGTAGAGTTACCCTGGGGAAAAAGCAACAATCCATCTTAGTAACTACTGAATTACAATACTTACTTTGGTAAAAGACTATGCAGTTAAACACAAATCAACAGTATTTGAAAATTAATACAATTTAGTATATTGGTACTTTCAACATTCAATCCTTATATTAATCAGTTTTCCAAACAGATATTCAAAATATAGAAAAGTTGAGATAGTTGCTGTGCCTTTACAAACAAGAATAAATTTTATTGAACTCAAAGGTACTCTGTATTGAAATACTTTTATTTGTTTAGGAATGCTTCAAATTAAATGTTATCTAATGGTGTCACATTCATTTAAACTTGATAACATCTATTAAAAGCAATAATTAAGAATTTTCTTTATTTAATGTGGTGTAGTTCTTAAATAGGATACAACTAGATATATAAGGACAAAGTATCAGACAAGGTAATTTCATCTTCTAAGTTTGCTCCTTTCAATAGATTATGCCAAACATGTCCTTTCATGCACCCTTGTCAACCATATTCAATCTCCATAAATTTTCCAAGCATCAAGCTCAAGGAAATTTCTTCTGGACCTCTATGGTCAAACTTTGTAGTATCAAACATTCAAAACAACTTTTTCCAAACTTTGACAGTCTTTACTATTCTAGGAATATCTTACAACACAAAGATAATCAACTGGCTACTTCTTCCCACAAAGCATTTGACTAAATTCCTTTTTTTTGCCTCCTTCATCCTGACCTCCATGGAGTTATTTGTCATGAGATTGCCAGCCCACTGAGAAAAACACTTCCCAGGGCCAAACCACCCCCACCCCAGCTCTAAACTTGTAGCTTTTCTTGCTTCTCTTCAATCTCCCATCATGCCCTCTCTGAGTTCATCTTGTCCACAAGATCTACCTCCTGTTCCATCAGCCTATGTTTTATTGATTCGAAGGAAGTGAGTATAATTGGTTAGGCCAGAATTTATTGCCCAACCCTATTTGACCTTGATCAGGTGGTGATTTGCCTTCTTGATCAAATGTAGTCCTTAAGGTAGGGGTTTCCAGGATTCTGACAACACCGGCGGTGAAGGAATGGCACATGGCTTGTAGGGGAACTGAAGGTGTGGTGTTCCAATGCACCTGCTGCCATTGTCCTTCTTGAGGATTTGAAATGTGCTGTCAGAGAAGTCTGAGAGAGTTAATGAAGCTCATTTACAGATAAAACAAACTGTTGCTACTTACACTGGTGAAGGGAATTGATGAGGAAGGTGATGGATGGAGTATCAATCAAGTGGATACTTAGTCCTAGATGATGTCAAAATTCCCGAGTGTTATTAGAGCTGCAACCATTCAGTCAAGTGGAGAGTATTCCATCACACTCCGGACTTGTGCTTTATACATCATGGACAGGCACTGGGAATTTATGTGGCGAGTTGCTCACCCCAGAATTGCTAGCCTTTGACTTGCTACTGTATCCACTGTATGGCTGGTGAAGTTCAGTTTCTGGTCAATGGCAGCCCCCAGAATGGTGGTATTTTGGAATTCATAATTTGGAATTCATGACAGTAATGGCATTGTATGTCAAATGGCCATGGTAAACTTCAGTCTTGTTTGGGATGGTCATTCCTGGCACTTTTGTGGCATCAGTCCAATCCTGGATGTTGTCAAGGTCTTGCTACATATGAACACAAGCTACTTCAGAGTCTGAGGAGTCATAGATAGTACTAAACATTGTACATCATCAGCATCCCAATCTCTGATCTTATGGTTGAGGGAAGGCCATTGATGAGACAGCTGAAGATGGATACTTCCCTGAAGAACTCCTGGATTGATGTCTGGGGCAGAGATGAATGACATTCAACAGCCACAACAAGCTTCCTTTGAGCCAGGTTCAACTTCAACCAAGTGAGGGATTTCCTCTGATTCCCACTGACTCCAATTTTACTCAGGCTCCTTGATGCAGTTCTTGGTCAAATGCTGCCTTGATGACAAGTGATGCTCACCTCTACAGTTCAGCTCTTCTGACCTTGTTTGGAGGTTGGAGTGAAGTCAGGAGCTGAGTGGACCTTATGAACACAAACTTAATGTCATTGAGCAAATTATTGCTGGGCAATGGTTGCTTGATAGAGTGACAACCTCTTCTATTACTTTGCTAATGGTGGAGAGTATACTGAGAAGGTGGTAATTGGCTGGGTTGGATTTGTCCTGTTTTTCATGCTAAGGTCATACGTTGCTAACTTTTCACATTGCTGGGCAGATGCCAGTGTTATAGCTATACTGGAGCAGCTTATCTACGGGCACAGTTAGTTCTGGAAAACAAGTTTCTGATACTATTGCCAAAATGTTGTCTGGGTGAAACGTGTTTGCAGTATTCAGTACATTTGCCATTGTCATTTCTTGTGCCTTGGTAGATGTTAGGTGGTCCATTCGGTTGCATTACTTGCTTAAAACCAGACAGACCATACGCTATTGACCTTTTAGATTTTATCCGTACCAAACTGCTGACAACCCAATTTTGCTTTCTGCTCTCCATGATATTTGATATTAACAGTTCCTCTGAGTTCTGTAAGCCTGTCCTTCAAAACTTCTGGTATGAACCCTCTCCCCAAAAGTACATCTTTGACTGCTTCCCTGGGAAATTACTGCCCTATCTCCAATCTCCTTTTCCTCTCTGGTATCTTTGCATGTGTTGCTGGCTCAAGAGTTGGCCCATCATGTTAAGAACCCATACTTAAATCCCTCCAAATAAATTTCCATTTCTTTTACAGCATTAAGAACCACATGCTAGGTGATGGTCATCATGGAAGCTACAATTTGTCATGCTTCTTAACTTGCATGCAACCTGTGACATGGGTACCCAATCTATCCAAGATTCAGCTGATTGGCACTGTAGTGTCCTGCTCCATTGTTATCTATATAGTTATAGCTAGGGAAGCTACCTGTAATGGTTTCTGTTGCCACTTCTGCATGGTCAACACTGGTGCTCCTCAAGGATCTATTCTTGGCCATTTCCTATTTATCATCTACATGCTACCCTTGCTGAAATAATCTGAAAATATGTCATATTTCACATGTGCAAGGACAACACCAAACTCTGCCTCACTGCCACTTCTCTCAATCCCTTCATTGTTCCTAATTTGTCAAATTTCTTGTTCAATATACACTATTGAAAGGACAGAAACTTTCTTCAACAAAAAATCAAAAGACCAAATCCAATGTCTTCAGTTCCCATCATGAACTCCATGCTTTTCCTGGAGAGCTACTATCTGACACGTAACCTGATATTTGCAACCTTAATATTCTATTGATCACTAACAGGTCATTAGAAGGCAATGGGTCATTCTAATGAAATAATTTATAATGTAAATTGCAATCTTCAGAACTCGAATACTGAACTGTTAAGAAATAGACAATTATTTAATGGGTTTCTTAAAAAAATGTAATGGTAGCACAGAAAGCAAATTGACGAAATTTAAATTCCAATGTCAATAGTATGATTTTCCAACTGTAAGCTCACTATTCTTAATTGAATTCAATAGGATGAAGAGAAACTGGTTTGGCCTCACTTGATCCCCTGTCATTTTCTTTTCATTCACAATTAGTCAGATTGATTAAAGAGATTTTTAGTTTGTTTCCCTCTAAGTCAGGAGTAGCATGACTTTTGGAGAGATGTACAAGGGCACAAAAATATAGGCAAATAAAATAATTGAATTACAAGTTATATCCACTGCTTAAAAAATTGGAATATTTCTGAAAAAAAACATCAAAAGGTTAAATTAAAAGTTTCCTAATGTGTCAGCACTTACTTACAAATGATTAATATGAATGGTCATGATCTACCTTTTTAAATGAGCCATAAGGTACCTCAGGGTTTCACAGTGTGCAGGTGGTAACATTTTCAATGCTTCATGAACTGACTCCAATCGCTCATCAGGTTCTGGAATCTCTGCAATCAAAATAATATCAAAACATTAATGTCAAGAAATTGGGCTTATTAGAGCCCAGTTTTGGGTACTATAAGTGCCCTTACTGCTCCAATATGGTGTTGAATATGTATTAGGTGAAACTTCTACTATTATAGTATTGTTGAATATTGGTGAAGGTGTTAGCACCCATACAATAAACAGAACAGGGAGATCACGGCATGACCTCGTGTGCAATAACAATTTATTCTGGAGCTCCATGTGTAACCGTGTACAGCCAAACATACGTTCAGAAGCACAAAGGAAGGTGTTCACTTGTTGTATTTAAAGACATTCAACAACTACTTATAAATTAGTGTAAACTGACTGCTTTATCATTGTTCATGCAAATCTCCAAGTGTCTGGTACTTTCTGTTGTTGTTTGATGTTACAGAATTCTACATGAAATGCTATGGCATTTGTTAACTTCAAAGCTTCCACAAGCAAATTGATCCCAGGCAGGGATATTCTAAGAGGTATTCCCCTTAGAACACAGAATGACTTGTAGAATGAATAATGGCAGAATAAGACAAACTACTGAAAGAGGGATGAAGGTTATCAGCAGAAGAACAAATCTGCTAGGGTGCTTGGGGAGCAAGTCTCCTGCTCGAACTTTAGTGCAGAACAATGGGTGGAATTTTCCCAACCCCAAACGTTAGGACAAAGATGAATAGGTTGGAAAAATATGCAAGATTAGCAGAAATGAGGTTCTTAAACCTCCTGCTGGAGGTTAAGGTGAATACTGGGCTTTGGTAAGAAGGGTGATCAGTAGCAAGATTGGAGGAGGAGCAAACTACTATAGCTGCTAAAGGCGAAGTAGAAGAGGTTTAACCGTGAAATGAAAGGCAGCAGGTAAGTGAGTGGGGTGACTGGTGAGTAGTTTTTCTTCTCTCTTATTTTCTCTTCATTTTGCTACTGTTGTTAACTTAGTGGTTAAGTCATGGCAGGAGATCCCAGACCTGTGTCATGATCCTCCTGTGCCATGTGGGAATTCAGGGACCCTTCTGATGTCCCTGACTCCTTCACTTGCAGGAAGTGTGTCCAGCTGCAGATCCTGTCTGACTGCCTGACAGCTCTGGAGCTGCGGCTGGATTCACTTTGGAGCATCTGCAAGGCTGAGGAAATCGTGGATAGCACTTTCAGTAAGTTGGTCACATCATAGATAAAAATTACTGAGGAAGGTAGGAAATGGGTGACCAACAGACCGAGGAAAGTAGGAAGGTAGTGCAGGGGTCCCCTGCAGTCACCTCCCTCTAAAACAGATATACCGTTTTGGATACTGTTGGGGGAGATGGCTTACCTGGGGAAAGCAGCAGCAGCCAGGCTCATGGCACCGTGACTGGCTCTGCTGCACAGGAGGGCAGGACAAAGAGTGGCAGAGCTATAGTGATGGGGGATTCAACGTAAGGGGAATAGATAAGGGGAATAGATTTCTGCGGCCTCAAACAGGAGTCCAGTGGTAAGTTGCCTCCCTAGTGGAAGGATCAAGGAGTCTTGGAGCAGCTGCAGGACATTCTGAAGGGAGAGGGTGAACAGCCAGCTGCCATGGTGCATATAGGCACCAATGATACAGGTAAAATGGGATGAGGTCCCACAAACTGAATTTAGGGAGTTAGGGTAGGGTCTCAAAGGTAGTAATCTCAGGATTGCTACCAGTGCCATGAGCCAGTCAGAGTAGGAACAGCAGCATAACTAAAATGAATACATGGCTTGACGTATGGTGCAAGAGGGAGGGATTAAAATTCCTGGGATGTTGGAAAATGATTCTGGAGGAGCTGGGACCAATACAAACTGGACAGTCTGCACCTGGGCAGGACTGGAACCAATATCCTGGGAGAGTATTTGCCCATGCTGTTGGGGAGGGTTTAAACTAATGTGGCAGGGATATGGGAACCAATGCAGGAAGTTGGAACAAAGCAAAGTGGGGACAGAAACAAAAACCAATTAGGGAAAAGTGAAAGTGGAAGGCAGATAAACCAAAGACAAAAATCAAAAAGGGCCACATTACACTGTAATTCTAAAAGGGCAATAAATGCCAAAAAAATAAGCCTGAAGGCTCTGTGTCTCAAAGTAAGGAGCATTTGTAATAAGGTGGATGAATTAACTGCACAGACAGTTATTGATTGATATGATGTAATTGGGATCACGGAGACCTGGCTACAGGGTGACCAAGGATGGGAACTCAATACCCAGAGTTATTTAATTTTCAGGAAAGATAGATGAAAAGGAAAGGTAGGTGGGGCAGCGTTGCTGATTAAGGAGGAGATTAACACAATAGTAAGGGAGGACATTAGCCTAAACAGTGTGGAATCTGTATGGGGTGGGGGGGAGCTGCGGAACACCATAGGGAAAAAGACCAAACAGTAGTTGTGAGGCTGGGGAATGTATCAAACAGGAAATTACAGCACACAGTAAGAGTACAGCAGTTATTATAGGTGACTTCAATCTACATATTGATTGGACTAATCAAAGTGGTATCAATGGAATGGAGGAGGATTTCATGAAATGCATCATGGATGGTTTCCTCAACCAATATGTCGCGGAACCAACTTGAGAGCAGTCCATCCCAGACTGAGTATTGTATAATGAGAGATGATTAATTAGCAAACTTGTGGTGCAAGATCCTTTAGCAAAGGAATGCATTGCCAGAGAAGGTAGTGGAGTCGACCTCATTAGGGGCATTTAAGCGGCTATGGATATAGATAGGCATATGGATGATAGTACAGGGTAGGGGTGGAGGTTAGATAGACCTTAGGTTTAGGGTAAAAGTTCAGCACAACATCGTGGCCGAAGGGCCTGTACTGTGCTGTACTGTTCTATGTTCTAAAGGCTAACCATAATATGATAGAATTCTTCATTTAGATGGAGAGTGACACAACTAGGGTCCTGAACTTAAAGAAAGCTAACTTTGATGGTATGATGCATGTATTAGCTAGGATAAGCTGGCCAAGGTTACTTTAGAGATTGACAGTGGATAGGCAATGGCAGACATTTAAAGAACACATGGATGAATTTCAACAATTGTACATCCCTATCTGGCATAAAACATGGAAGGTGGCTCAACCATGACTAACAAGGGAAATCAGGGATAGTGTTAAAGCCAAAGAGGACGAATATAGTATTGCCAGAAAAAGCAGCAAACCTGAGGACTGGGAGAAATTTTAAATTCAGCACAGGAGGTCAAAGGATTTAATTCAGAAGTGGAAAATAGAATAGAAAGTAAACTTGCAGAAAATAAAAACTGACTGCAAAGTCTTCTATAGATATGTGAAGTGAAAAAGACTGGTGAAGACAAATGTAGGTTCCTTGCAGTTAGAATCAGGTGAATTCATAATGGACAACAAAGAGATGGTAGAACAGTCGAACAAATATTTTGGAAATGTCTTCACTAATGAGGACACAAATAACCTTCCCGAAATACTAGGGGACAGAGGGTCAAGGATGAAGGAGGAACTGAAGGAAATTTTTATTAGTAAGGAAATGGTATTGGGAAAATTGATGGATTAAAACCCAATAGGTCCCCAGGGCCTGATGCTCTGTATCCCAAAGTACTTAAGGAAGTGGCCCTAAAAATAGTGGATGCATTGGTATTCATTTTCTAGCATTCTGTAGACTCTGGAAGAGTTCTAATGGACTGGAGGATCACTAATGTAACCCCATACTTTAAAAAAGGAAGGAAAGAGAAAATGGGGAATTATAGGCCCGTTAGCCTGATATCACTGGTGGGAAAATGATGGAGTCAATTATTAAGGATGTAAAAACTGGGCATTTGGAAAGCAGTGACAGAATCATTCCTGGCCAGCATGGATTCACTAAAGGGAACTCATGCTTTACAAATCTTCTGAAATTTTTCGAGGATGTGACCAGTAGAGTGAACAAGGGTGAATCGTTAGACGTTGTGTATCTGGACTTTCAAAAGGCTTTTGACAAGGCTCCACATAAGAGATTGGTAAGGAAAATTAAAGCTCATGGTATCTGAGGTAATGTATTGACATGAATAGAGAACTGGTTGGCAGACAGGAATGAAAAGGCCCTTTTCAGAGTGGCAGGCAGTGACGAGTGGGGTACTGCAGGGATCAATGCTGGGACCCCAGCTGTTCACAATTGACAATTTGGACTAAGGAAGTGAATGCCATATCTCCAAATTTGCAGACGACACTAAGCTGGGTGGCAGTGTGTGCTGTGAGGACAATGCTAAGGGGCTGCAGGGTGACTTGGACAGACTGGGTGAATGGGCAAATACTTGGCAAATGCAATATAAAGTGGATAAATGTGAGATTGTCCACTTCGGTCACAAAAACAGGAAGGCAGATTATTATCTGAATGGTGGAAGTTTAGGAAAAGGTGAGGCACAATGAGACCTGGATATCGTGGCAGAAGAGTTCCTGAAGGCTGGCATGCAGGTGCAGCAAGCGGTGAGGAAAGCTAACAGCATGCTGGCCTTCATTGTGAGAGGATTTGAGTATCGGAGTAAGGATGCCTTGCTGCAGTTATACAGGGCCTTGGTGAGGCCACTCACGGAGTATTGTGTATAGTTTTGGTCTCCTAGTCTGAGGAAAGACATTTTTGCTATTGAGGGAGTCCAGTGACATTTCACCAGACTGATTCCTGGGATGGCAGGACTGACATGTGAGGAAAGACTGGATCGACTGGGCTTGTACTCACTGGAACTTAGATAGATGAGGGGGTATCTCATAGAAACATATTAAATTCTGATGGGACTGGATAGCTAGATGTAGGAAGAATGTTCCCGATGTTTGGGAAGTCCAGAACTAGGAGTCACAGTCTAAGAATGAGGGATAAGCCATTCAGGACCGAGATGAGGAAGAATTTCTTCATTCAGATTGTGAACCTGTGGAATTCTCTCCCACAGGAAACTGCTGGGGCCAGTTCATTAGATATATTCAAGAGGGAGCTGGACGTGGTCCTTGCAGCTAAAGGGGTCACTGCTGCAAGTGTTGCAGCAGTGCTTACTGTGCGACAC